CAATAGCATACAAGGGACTCACTTAGATGCACATTGCAATGCCGACCATCACGAGCAAGCGGTCAGGTAAGGCAGCTTAGCTGTGTGGCACCGACCTCCTCAGATGCAATCTTTTTTATCCTCAGAAACCACAAACCACAGACATGACTCCTAGATTTAGCAACTGAACCATAACTTCCTTGGTGCTAATTTTACCATACTTTCCTGTTCTTTTCGTCCCTGTCACGTCTTTTCCCATCAGCAGTTTGCTTAGTCTTGCAAGTTTACTGATTTCCTGCTATTGCCCTACAGGTCACATTTTAGCTAACTTGGCTTTATTAAATGCAATCAAAACTAACATTAAAACATACAAAAGGCTACTAAAATTTTCCTCTCACAGTTGCTTTGGTATTAATCAGTTTGGCAAGAATGGTTAGATTTATTTATTTATGGAATTATAACTCACCTTTCTATCAATCTGAGAACTGAGTGGGCATATAACAGCCATAAATAGATAGGTGATAGATGATAGGTGATGATAGATACAGATAAACCCAACATTAATGCGCTTAGAATCAAGTCTTAAAATAAATGCCTTAGCAATTAACAAAAGCTTGGCATGCCTCTTTACCAGCCTCCTGGCAAGCACATCTTCCCCGAGAACACATTGCACAGCCTGGGTGCCACACGGGAAAGACCCTTTCCCGTGTATCAGATGGCCACAGGGGCATCTTCAAAAGCATCTCTTGTGCTGATCTCAGTCGTTGGCAGGTTCGGAGTGGGAGAGGTGGTCCTGCAGAGAATCAGGCCGTATGATGCTTAGGGCTTAAATGGTGGCCAGGAGGCAGTCTTTCAGGACAGGCATCCTATAATCCCAGGACTTGGCATATTACCAGCCCAGCCACTGCATTTAGCATTAATAGTAGTTTCCAGGTGCTTTTCAAGGGTAGCCCCATACAGGACATACAGACATGACTCTGGACCTGTCTGGGTCCTAACCAGAAGACGTTGCCCCAGGAAAAGGGCAGCTTTTTCCCATGTGGATGTGTTTGGGGAAGTTTTCTTGACAATCAGCCCAAGAGAGAATATTTATTTATTTATTTATTTTTCAAATTTGTATGCCGCCCATCTCCCCCAATGGGTGA